TCATGCCTGGCTAACTGCATTGTGCAAGAGGGAGGCCTCACTTTCGGCCTGTCTGGGCTTTCAACATTTTTTCCTCAGTATGCTTCATCATTTCTAGCTTTTGATTCCAAGAGGGAGACATGAAATTTTGTACTTTCCTTTGAAAACTTAAGAGGCCATTATAGAGTTATAAATTGGCTTAATTTCAATATTGCTGTCTCAGGGAATAGGAGGCCTGAGGAGGGGGGAGACAGGAGAACTGTCAGTGAAGCAGTCAGAATACGAAATTTCTCAATTATTTTGCTATCTTATATGGGGACATTTTGTGGAGTCTCAAATTAATTACAATAGTAAGATCAATGATCACAAATCACCATAAGAAAAAGCTGGAAACACTGCAAGAATCACCAAAACATGACAGAGATACCAAGTCAGCACACACTATTGGAAAAATGTTGCCCATATTTGCCAGATGCAGGGTTGTCACAAACTTTCAATTTGTAAAAAATGCAGTCTCTGCAAAGTGCAAGATGAAGAATGCAGCCGGGAGCAGTGGCACACAACCTGTAATCCCAGTATGAGGCCAAGGCAGGTGGATCACCAGAGGTCAAGAGTTTGAGACCAGCCTGGTCAACATGCAAAACCTTGTCTCTACTAAAAATACAAAAAATTAGCCAGGTGTTGTGGTGCACGCCTGTAATCCCAGTAACTCGGGAGGCTGAGGCAGGAGAATCACTTGAACCCACGAGGCAGAGGTTGCCACTGCACTCCAGCCTGCTGGACAACAGAGCAAGACTCCATCTAAAAAAAGCAAAACAAACAAACAAAAGATGAAGAATGCCTACAATGATGGCAATGTGGAATTAGAAGAATGGTAGTGCTGGTGAAAGACAATAAACAGTAAAGGCATACACTTGGGATTGGAAATTCAGTGTTTTATTTGGAATGAGATGAGTTTAGGGTGCCAGTAAGATACCCAGTATAAGTACTGTAATAGCTAATATTCAGTGAGTTCTTAGCGTCAGATAGCTGAAAAGGTAAAACTGAAGCTCGGGAGAGAGGGAAACATGGTACTGAAGGTGATGCCAATATAACTGATTCCATTTACTACCTCTCATTATCAATTGTGGCTATTAAAATAGCATACTTTTTAAAAGACATGCTTTTCTGCAATCTTAGGATGTTCTTCCCAGTAAGAAAATGATCATTATAAAAAATAAATTACTATAATGATACTCCTTAATTATGACTTGGTACAAGTCTGCTGTTCAAAGCAGCTCCTACTCCAACCTGGCACTGCACTAAAAAGTCCTGTGGAAAAGGCCACACAGACAAACCCAAACCCACAACCAGCAAGGGGTGCACTTTAAAGGCCTCTGGTCTCCCACCCCTACTCATGCAGTTTAACATATCCGAAAACCAAAATGACACCTGGGCACAATGGCTCATACCTGTAATCCCAGCACTTTGGGAGGCCAAGGCGGGCAGCTCACTTGAGGCCAGAATTTCTAGACTAGCCTGGCCAACATGGTGAAAACACATCTCTACTAAAAATACAAAAATAGCTGCACATCGTGGCGGATGCCTCCAGCTATCGGGAGGCTGAGGAACAAGAATCGCTTGAGCCTGGAAGGTGGAGGTTGCAGTGAGCCAAGAGCGCGCCACTGCATTCCAACCTGGGTGACAGAGTAAGATTCTGTCTCAAAAGAAAAAATCAAAATGGCTTGTGGCCTTTAGCCACAGAAGGCAGCTAAGACAGCTGGCCTATAAAGATAAATCAATATACATAGCCTCAACATCTCTAGGCCAGCTAAGCCATCACATCACACAGAATTCTAAATTTATCTAACACTAATAGGCTAATAGGCTGTCTTACCTAAATGACCACCCTGAGCACACAGCTTATTCACCAAATGGAGAGTTACCCCTCTTATAAATGGGAGAAGGCATTCTACCTGCTGTTGAAAGACAAAGTGACAGTTTTCATTGTACAAAACATGCTAGTAAGAAGCTCAGTTTGTGGGGCTGGGGGCAAGGGAGATTCAGAGAACAGCTATCACTTACTTGGATACTGCAAAATGTTTAATATGAAGAGCCTTGACTAGAGTTACTGCCACAAGACACAAAGATTACCCAGTATACAAAACCTTCCATTTTTTGGCAGTAATCTTGAACCCTGGAAAAGCCTACAAACACCTTTCAGTTATAGAATTAAGGTGTAAATACACAGATAACTGTTCCAGAAATAGTTGAAATTACTACTCAACAGTGGCAAGATTTTAAGGTTTTTATTTTATTAAAAATATAGCAACATAATAGCAGCATCGTTTGATAAATCTTTACTAGTACCATTTAAAACTAGTCCTACTCACAAATAAACACCACCTATGCAGCATGTTTATGTTTACATTTCAAACTCTTCCCTTGATAATCTAACACTGTTCTATTAATCTAATCAATATTAAGGAGGTAATTTAAGCATTGTTGATCTACACAGCTACACAGTATACTCAAATTTCATACTTGAATCTACCATAGAAATCAGGAATTCTTTATTCCCCAACAGTGTGTTACCTACCAGTACCCTCAAAATGGTGGAAATCAACCTCTTCTTTCAGTATTTTTATTAATTTAACTTACATATATGGTTAAGAAATTATCTGTCTAGCAAATAAAAATAAACCAATGGAACTCCTACTCCAAACCAATCCTGGAAAAATAAAATTTAGAGGTAAAATATGTGAAATCTCCCAAAAGTTGGCAATTTTCAAAATTAAATTGTTAACTAGATAAAAATTTAAAAATCAGGTAACAGACTTAAAACCTTTTATAAACATTGTATTAAGAAATGCTATATCTGATATAAACTAATTATAACGAACTAATTGCTAGAAACTATAAAAGTACCTTAGAATGGAAGAGAGCTACTAAATCCAACTGACCGAATTAGTTACTAAATCCAACTGACAGATATAACCAAAGTCATAAACGGCTTTAGCTTTTATTTTTAAAATAATGCATTGCCAGGTGCAGTGGCTCACACCTGTAATCTCAGCACTTTGGAAGGCTGAGGCAGGTAGATTGTTTGAGCCCAGGGGTTTGAGACCAGTCTAGGCAACATGGCAAGACCCTGTCTCTACAAAAAAATTTTTTTATTAGCTGGGCATGGTGGCACACATCTATGGACCCAGCTACGGGAGAGGCCGAAGTGAGAGAACCACCCATGCCAGAAAAGGTCAAGATTGCAATGAGTTGTGATCAAGTCACTGCACTCCAGCCTAGGTGACAAGAGTGAGACGCTGTCTCAAAAGAAAAGTAATGATATTGTATTACTCTTCCGGCAAAACCACCAATAAAAGTGTACTAAAAACAAACTCACCCACAAACCCAAGATTAAGTAGGGAAGTCAATTTTATTTTAAAAATTTATTACATTTATACTAAACTCCTGCTTCCAGAAATATAATTTAGCTCTTTTAAGAGCACTAGCTATTAAAATTTGAAAATAAACAATCTAATTTTAAGTGAAAATTACATTAGTAAATAAACATGAGAAAATAATATATATGTAGTGAAAATAAAAAATATTTAAACACAAGAAACACATGTGCACTGCACTGCACATTTACTTTGTGGGAATGGCTCTACATTGTAACATACCCAATTAAAATCAGATACTGTCTTCCAATGAAAACATAAGAAATGATTCACTGAAATTTTAGGTTATTCAATGGCATCCCTCCGAAGTGATTCATTTTAATTGCTAATTCAACAATAATTAAATCATGCTCTTTATTTCTAATAGATTGAAAAAAAAACTTAGAGGCCTATTACTCTACATTATAATTCTTGAATTTACATAGTATATCTTTCACTTGAGAGGGGAGTTGGATCAGGGTTCTAAGTTTTAAAATAAAGATAGCAACATATACATAGGAATTACTGAAGGTCTTGAAAATTATTACTATTACAAAATAAATTCTCTTGACCCCTCCCCCCTCAAAAAAACCTTTTCATTATAAATGCCAGTGTTTATTTTTAATTGAGCATGTCAAAATTTAAGTGTCTGACACTGCCAAAGATCAACATAGCAGGTATTGAACCTCTTGAAGAAAAGAACTTGAAACACAGGGAAGATCACAAGCTGACTAGTGTTTGCAATTATAAGCTAATTAGATTAGATAGAAAATAAGACTATAACTGCAGAACTTCAGGATTTAAGTTTTGACACAAAACTAATGCACTAGCTTATGAACTAATGCACCATCTTATGTTACTAGTTCAGTGTGCATTGCTGAAAAGCAAGAAAGAGAGTACCAGCAGAATTTGTCTACAATGATAACTAGCAACTACAACTTAAGGAACAGAGTGTACTCTGTGTAATCAAGCTAAAAAAGATAATTACAGAAAGTATCAAGTATGAAATAGCTGTCTTCTTGGCCTTACCTCAAGTTTACCTGACAACAACTACCTGGGATTAATAAAAAAATAAAATAAAATAAGTCTTAAAAAAAAAAATACCCTGAAAGAATAAACAAATGAAAACATATGAGCTATTGTAAGTGAACAAAGAAAGTATGTCTCACACACACGTGCACATGCACACACATGGGGACACACACACACACACACACCCTCTAGACCCTAGAATGCCTTGCTTCCATAAGCCCATGTAAGAAAATGTCAAACCCCAATAACAATCTGATTTCCCTTTCTCCAGATCTCTTGTATTTCTACTCACTCTTAGCTTTTACAAATCAGTGTTTCAAGATTATAGTAAGAATACTTTAAAGCTGAATAAATATCAGCAAGGAAAATAACAGCAGGAACCAAATTAAATGTTAATTACCAACATAAAAAACATGTAAGAAGAGTCCAGAGTACAAGAAAACACACATACTTTAAATGACTTGTTTTATAGACTCCACACAAACACACACTCCATGTCACAACCATCTCGATGCCAACTAAAATGAGAGCAGGATAAAACTAAAATGCTTTTTTGAAATGCATAAACAAATATTTTCCTCTAAAATACTTAGCTTTATTAGAGAAATGGTACTAAAAATAACAGATTCCAACATTTGCTCTATTTCTACTTATATATCATAAATAAGACAGCTGTTGATGCAAGACACACTCTTTCACAATCTTTCCATATGCACCCAAGCATTCTTTTATCAGAATAAGCTGTTTACCAGCCAACCGTACGTGGTTGAATGATTAAAATGACCATCTATACTTTACATAGTAAAGCATCTTCCAAAATTTTAATGTACACAGTGACAAAAAGGAAAAACAAACAAACAAACAAAAAACAGTAATTCTCAACACATGAAGAGTGATTAAGCAGCTTCATAATCGAATCAGGCTTCATTATTTGCAATAAGGGCAACTCTTTCCATTCCCCACCAAATACTAGTTTCAATCTTATTAACATTAAAAGAAAATGCAAATTGAAACCAAGTAACTAACATGCTACTCAGCTTTTCAGATCTAAAAAAGTAACTCTTCCCATGAGGTAAGGCAACTGAGTAATCTGATTGTATTAGATTGCATTAAAATAATTATACTTAATCTTTTAATAACTAATTAAAAGGTATTACTTTTTTGGAAATACAACAATGAGGAGTTCAGAAACCACAAGTTATAAGCACTGGGGAAAAACATCAGCAGTGTTGTCACTTTACTATGTGCATACTTTCTGTAAAAAAGTGAGCTTAAAAATGATGGATGACCTGTATCTAAACTCGAGTACACATATCCTTAAACATAAAACAAATAACCTCCCAAATACTCCTAAGTCCTTCTTTTAAGTACAATTTCTGCACATCATTTATGAAAAGATGATTGAGAGGTAATAAGGCCATCCAATGTAGACAACTAAAGAGTTTTCTTCGATTTAAGGAAAATAAGAAAATGTTTCATTTTCAATTGTTACAGTATAAAACTGATGGTCCCAAAGCTGCATGACTCTAAAGTCATTCTTGAAAACAGGACTTCCTTCTCATATTAGGTGAAATAAGAAGCTCTTCTGACATCCACTTACACAATTCTCTATGGGTATGAATGAAATATCCATCTAGATTCCATATGAATTGAGAATGACTAGCACATATAAAATTCTAGAAAACAGTATACCACATTGTAGAAGGCACTAAAGCTTCAGCTTGTGCTCCCATAGCCCATTTTCAAAAGCCAGTTTCCTTTTTATACGGGCACCTTTGCCACCTACAGCTGACAAGACACACTGCAATATTATTCATAATAAGCCTGGAAATGTCAAGAAAATTTAGAAAGAAATGCTCACTTTGCGGGTAGACCCAATGATTCTAAACACTGAATACCAATTCATCATTATTAGTATTCAACACAGTTGCTCTTCCTTTTGAAAGAGAACAGTAGCATGCATTGTCAGTTTTTTAATCCACTTATTTAAGCAATTTTAATCTGCGAAACTATTTTAACGAAAAATTGTCCTAAACAGTGAGCAAAAGAAAACACAAGTGAGAATTTAACACAATCACTGTAAGTCCTGTGAAGTAAATGTTAAAACTTCTTACATACTTTGCACTTACAAGGGTGTGTATATATTTGCACCAATTTCAAGCACATCATCAAACTGTGTATACTGAAATTAAAAAAAGAGTAAAACAATACAAAATTCAGTAACTAGCATTTTTTTTTAAGAGCCTCCAATGCTTATCTCCAGTCTTTAGGGATAGTACAAACTTGGATCTTTGATGTTCAATATATTTGCAATGGTTCTTGGCAAACACTAACAAACCACACGACAAGTGTGTCGGCCACCATGGAAATGCACAGATTTTAGAAGATGAGTTTGGGTAACATCTGTTATTTTCATGATGTCCATGCTTTATTTTCTTACTCAGTAACAAGATGGTCACAAAGTCATCTAACAACTGAAAAAGCTGTTAGATCCTATCTTTACGCTCAACTAGATTTCTTTCCTGTTTACATCTTGTTGAGAGAATTAAAAGCTTTGGATTTGATTCCAGCATTGAGTGCAGAGGTACACTTGTCGGTCCTATACTGCTTCCGTTTTGGTAGAGAGGTTTTCTTCATTCAGCTGACAATTTCCATTGTGCTGTACTTTGTTTTCTTCAGTCCTTGGTGCATCCTTGTCATCTACTTCTTTGCTCACACTTGAATCTGGTTCTTTATTGTGCTCCTTCTCCTACAATGAGTAATTAAGGTATGCATTTAATAGTTTCCTCAAGAACTGCCTGCTATTATTACAAAAATGTGAAACATTATCTTTTGTGAATTAAAAAACTGGGTATTATTTTCTCCCATTATGTTTTCACCTAAAAGGAATATGCAAACACCATCAATCTGCCCTTTGTATTCTCATGAAAGATGGACAATCCATGGAAATTAAACTAGAATAGGTGAACAGAAATTTTAAGCAAGTGCTCAATAAATGTTGCTGACAGACTTGAAAAAGTGGGTCAGATCTCTTTAAAGAGTGAAATAATTTCCAAGGATACCAGGATAGATTTTCAATCTGGAAACCAATGCAGCAAAAATAAGTAAAGGTAGAAAAGGAAGTTATATCCCTCCTGGAAAAGACTGTTCAAGAACACTCCAATTTCTATCCTCAATTTAAAAGAGAATTAAATGAGAACAAACAGTGCCTGGCACAATAGTAAATGCTTAATAAATATTATCAATGTTATTGATGATGATGATAAACCTCTATCAGTATGACAATACATAAATCTGTAAGATAGATGTTCCAAAATTCATAATTTCCAAATACAAATATACTTTACCAGTGTAAGTAATTTAACATAATTCACAACTACTTAAAATATTTATCCTAACATAATTCACACAACTACTTATTCATCCAAGTGACAAAAAAGCTAACTTGGTAGAATTTGGTTTTCCATTAGGTATTCTAACCCAACAAACCTAATGTTAACTATGTATTATAAAACCAGTAACAGAAAGTCTTTTCAAACATAAATTGAGGAAAATGGCATCAGGCAGAAATCATAGCATCAAATACATTTGTTACTGTTGGTTCCTTAAATTTTTCTTATTGCATGCCATGTTATGATTCTCTAAAATAAGGAATGCAATTGTTATAGTTTTACTGGCTCTTATCTCTTCAACATTTATTTTAAATGACCAATTAAATATTTTTAAATGTAACAATGTACAAGACACTGTTCCCCAAAGAGCTTTCAGTCTAAAGCCATTTGTATGCAATAAAGAACAATCTCCAGTGCCAGACACTGAATGACTGCTGCTTACTTTAAGAGAAGTACTGCTCTTTTCCAACTTCTCCTTCCCATCTCTGTCATTAGAACTCTTTCTTATAGATGTTGAACGTTCTCTCTCTCTTCTTTCACTGATGTGGTCCCTTTCTTTTTCTCTCTTTTTATCCTTCTTATTTCTGCTGTAAGAATATTCATATGTCAGTCAAATCCTAAGAAATCGAAGATCTATTGTATTCTTGACAAAACATCCTTTTCTAACACTGGATATCTAAAATAATACATTGTTAATAAGCATTAACAACAAGCTGGTTTGCAAAGTAACATAAATGAGTACTACAACCTGACCTACTCCACCCTTAGCCCAATTCGTTTCTTAAGGATACACAAGTCATTTTGGCAGAAGCCACCATATGTTCTCATAAAACACTATTTGGTATTGCCTATTTAATAGTTTTCAAATATTCAAGATTTATTTATGTACTGAAATAAGGAGCAAATAAAACCAAATGAATACGTATCTGCCTCATTTTGCAAAGAGAAACAGGAAAGATAAATCAAATGATTGGTCAATTACACAAGGTGAATAGGAACAAGGTAGAAGGAATGGAAACGGGAGTGACATTTTCTGAATGTATCTTTTTGTCTAATTTTAGTTCATAAGAGAAAAGTTTTTACTTTCCTGGATAAAGCATTTGTTTCAAAAATACAAATATGGCCTTCATCTAGAGTATCCTAAGCCTTCCATCATTCTCACAAAAAACAAAAACCTATAAGCAAATAAACAAAAGACCCCTCTGCTAGAAAATCACCTAAAAAATTATAACCAATTAGTAAGGCAGTGGATTAAAAAAACAAATATACAGAAATCAATAACTTTCCTATGTACGAACCTAACCTCCAATTAAACATAATGAAAAAAAGACATTTCCAACCGCAACAAAAATTCCTAGGAATTAGGAAATGCATAAAACCTATACGAAAACAAATACTGAAACATTCCTGAAAACACTAAGGATGGCCTGAATAAGATGTGCCACATTGCTTGTCTACAGCCATACCACCCTGAACATTCCTAATCTCATCAGATATACCACATTCCTGGACAGAAAAGACTTGTCATCATAAATCTTGATTTATTAATAAACTTGTTTATCACTTTCCCTAAGTTATTTTATAAATCTAATGCAACTATAATACAAATTATCAATAGGTTTTATTTCCGAAACACAAACAATGAACTCCTGTTCAAACGGAAAAATAACCATGAAAGGAAAGCTGACCATCCTCAAAAAAGCAATGAGGGATACAGAGAACAAGCCTTGCCAAATACTTACAAGTGTGGGACACTAGCACACGACTGGCCAGTCAAACCAATCCATCCAAAACAAAAAACATAGAAAAATATAGCACATGACAAAGGCAACATATCAAATTATTGTCACAAAAATTTAGTTTTTAACAAACAGGTACTGCAACAACAGGGATGCATTTGTAAAATAAAACTGTAACCATATGCCACATTGTACATAAGACTTTAACCAAAGATTTAAATGCAAAATATAAAACTAAAAAAAGTACAAGAATAGGAAAGTTCTCTTATAATCTTGGAATAGGAAAAGCTTTTAATCATTTTTTGACTCACATAAGAAGTCATAAAAGAAAGTTATTTTAAAAATGAAAAATCTTTGGCCGGGCACGGTAGCTAATGCCTGTAGTCCCAGCACTTTGGGAGGCCGACGCAAGCAGATCATGAGGTCAAGAAATGGAGACCATCCTGGCCAACATGGTGAAACCCCGTCTCTACTAAAAATACAAAAAAAATTAGCCAGGTGTGGTGGCACGCGCCTGTGGTCCTAGCTATTCGGCAGGCTGAGGCGGAAGAATCACTTGAACCCAGGAGGCAGAGGTTGCAGTGAGCCAAGATTGTGCCATTGCACTCCAGCCTGGCGACAGAAAAAGACTCCGTCTAAAAAAAAAAAAAAAAAAAAAAAGAGGAAAAAAAAGTCTTTGTAAAATCAAGTCTCATGAACAATTTTTTTTTAAAAAAACAGCTAACAGAATATTTAAAATCATATCACCAAACAATAAACTCCCTAATATAAAAGAGTCCTTGGAAATAGAAGAGGAAACAAAAAGGCCCAACAGAAAAATGGACAGAGTATACAAACAATTCACAAGTGGTTTTCAAATGTATAAAGGCATCACTTTATTCATAATTGTTTAAGAGTGCAAACTGCTGCCAACCCTTATGGAGGATAATTTGGAAATATCTCTCAAAAATTACAAACATGCTTATCATTTAACCTAACAATGCAATTTCTTCAGATTTTTTTCCTACCCACATGCACACTAAAAATGACTTAAGTCCAAAGCTATTCATTACAGCATTATATAATTTATGGTAGGAAAATTTTAAAAACCCATTCTACTATAACCTACTTTAATAACCAAGGTACTGCCATACAATGGAAGTCTATGCAATTATAAAAAGAAATTGAAGAAGCTCTCTCTGACCTGGTAAGTGACAAAAAGTCTTTCTGGTAGTTAAATGACAAAAGCAAGTGCACAACAGTGTGTATTTTGTGTTGCTTTTTATATTAGAAAAAAAGATACATTCTCCTATTGTATCTATATATGAAACTGGAAGCACATACAAAAAAACCTAAGGAAGTCATTACTCATGGGGACAGTGTAGATGGGCACTTAAGTGGAAATTAAGACTTCCTAATATATGACATTTTATCTTTAATTTCTGAAGGACAGAAATGTATTATTAATTTAAAATATAAAGTTTAATAAATAAAGACACGAATTTAAAAATTTTTTTAATATTTCTTGCTTTCTGTTTAGTTTTAGCACAAGCTTCCAACCTACCTCCTAGGGGATGGAGATCTAGAAGATTTCCTTTTTATGGTTTTTGATGTTCTTGGCGATCTGGAAGAACTCCTGCTCCTCCTCCTACGCCTTTCCCTGAAAGCCAAAAATACATCATTTTTAAAAACAGTAATTGAAATAAAGGGCAATTCAAATATACAAAAACAAAAGAGTCCTTGATACTCTCATATGAACAGTATTCTTTAGAGGCCAGTTTAAACTTATACCCTTTATGAACATGTTCAATCACGTAACTTTAGAGTAGGACAAATTAAGAACCATATATTTTACAGACTGATGAAAACATCATCTAAGATTTAATATTAGGAAGGGTAGAGGACCTCCCCCTTTTCATCTGGTTTATTTGAACAATAGTTTCTTCAGTAGAAAAAAATATTAATGGTGTTTCTGCTTCTCTCAAGTATGTTCTTTCTCAGCAGCTAAAACATGTTTTGCTTATCAAATCTTCTGTCCTGTATCTAGCTCCTTGCTGCCCTGCTGTGGATTATAACAAAGTAACAGGCCCTTTTCAAGAACTGAAACATGAGTTGGCCTGTAAAATGTGAACTTTCTATACCCAATTATTTACAATGTCTATTTAAAAAGCATTTACTTTACTATCATTTTAGAGAAATAGTTTTGCCCTCCAACCTCTTATTTCATTAATGTTGTTCTATTAATTTAAAATTTTAGTGCACAAGTTGTGCTAAATTTAAGCAAAATAGTTAAAATCTAGGATGTAAATACAACCGGAATAATTACAAAGATTTACATTTTTATTATTAAAAACCATTTTGCTTATTAGCAGATTAACAAATGATGAGTATTCTAAACTACTTCAACTCAAAAACAATGAACTTCGTTAGGTCTGTAATTTAGGAGAGATGGTGTGTGGATATATCCAATGATCAATCTCACAAGGAGTTCTGATCATCAGTGACCACACAGAAAAACAAAATCCTCTGGAATTCATGTTATCTTTACCCTCTCAGGAAACTGATTCTAAGAGATTAATAAAATATTTTGTCCAAGTTTTCCATTTTTAAAATAAAAAGTATTCACATGGCATGTATAACAGATGTTAAAATACAAAGCTCAAGAACTTTGAGAACACAAGTTAATTATAGCTCTACCTAAGACTCTCTCCTCTATTACCCATATTTTTTTTTTTGAGACAGTGTTTGGCTCTTGTTACCAAGACTGGAGTGCAATGGCGAGATCTTGGTTCACCGTAATCTCCACCTCCCAGGTTCATGCGATTCTCCTCCCTCAGCCTCCTCAGTACCTGGGATTATAAGCATGCACCACCACGCCCAGCTAACTTTGTATTTTTAGTAGAGACGGGGTTTCTCCATGTTGGTCAGGCTGGTCTCGAACTCCCGACCTTAGGTGATCCACCCGCCACGGTCTCCCAAAGTGCTGGGATTACAGGCATGAGCCACTGAGACCGGCCCCCATTACCTACTTTTATTCCCAAGGCATTCCAAAATTTTATTTCCTAAGTAATATGGAAATTAGATACATTATTTCATTAAATAAATGCCATTCTCTTAACAGCTCAGCCTAAGAACCAAAAATATGTTCTTTGTAACATGCAAATGTCAGTGTATTCCAGACTTTAAGATTACACAAAGTGGCTCTGCCTTAATCAGACTAATTCTTTTACTTATTTGTTCAGAAAGCACTATGTGCAAGTAGATGTCTAATACCTACTAGCTGATAATAATGAGAGCAAAGCCGCCATAGACAGCAGCAATCTAGACAATTACTTGAGAAAGAAATTATATGAACAACTAGAGTTAGTGAGATTTAGACTAAAATTTGAATTACACACCTTACCCAGATAGACAACTAAGGTCATATTACTTAACCTAATCCATTTTTTTCACCTGAAAAATGAAGACAATTAACAATTCAAGTCTTGGTTGGGCGCAGTGGCTCACACCTGTAATCCCAGCACTTTGGGAGGCCGAGGGGGTGGATCACGAGGTCAGGAGATCGATACCATCCTGGCCAATATGGTGAAATCCCGTCTCTATTAAAAGTACAAAAAAATTAGCAGGGCATGGTGGCGTACGCCTGTAGTCCCAGCTACTCCGGGGCTGAGGCAGGAGAATTGCTTGAACCCAGGAGGTAGAGATCATAGTGAGCCAAGATCACGCCACTGCACCACAGCCTGGTGACAGCGTAAGACTCCATCTCAAAAAAAAATAATAATAATAATTCAAGTCTTATGAGGTTGTTGAGGATTTAGGATAAATTCTATAATGTATGAAGCACAGAGTCTGACACAGAAGAAGGTACTCAATAAATATTACTTTCTCCTTCCCTTTCTTGGTGTCACCTTTATTGACGGTAACTTTTAAGCATTAACTTTTTTTAGTATCACTTTCTTTAAAAATATAAATTAGACAATGTTAGAAATAAAAATATTAACTGAACTATTTTTTGAACAGTTAAAATATTTTCCATTTAGTCAACAAATCAGAACATCTGAAAGGCAGAAAAATGCTAAAAGACAAGAAATATAACTCCCGGCTGGACGCAAGAGCTCAAGTCCATAATTTCAGTACTTTGGGAGGCTGAGGTCAGGAGTTCGAGACCAGCCTGGACAACATGATGAAACCCCGTCTCTACCAAAAATACAAAAATTAGCTGGGTGTGGTGGCATATGCCTGTAATCCCAGCTACTCATGAGGCTGAGGCAGGAGAATTGCTTGAATCCAGGAAGCAGAGGCTGCAGTGAGCCAAGATCGCACCATTGCATTCCAGCCTGGGAGACTCTCAAAAAAGTTTAAAAAAAAAAAGAAATTTTAACTCTTTACTAAGCTCTTCTGAAAGCATGAAACATTCCAAATTGCTGAGCCTTCATGAACTAATGTCAGTTGTCTTTTATTCTCGAGGCCTCAGACATTACTGAACAATATATTTGAACTAAGTGCGGTGACTCATGTCTGTAATTCTGGCACTTTGGGAAGCTAAGGAGGGCAGATCACTTAAGGCCAGTAGTTCAAGATCAGCCTGGCCAACATGGTGAAACTCCACCTCTACCAAAAATACAAAACTTAGCCAGGCATTGTGGTATACACCTGTAATCCCAGCTACTCAGGAGGCTAAGGTATAAGAATCACTTGCACCTAGGAGGCAGAGGTTGCAGCGAGCCAAAATCATGACATCGCACTTCAGCCTGGGCAACAGAGCAAGATTCCATCTCAAAAAAATAAACATAAATATTTAGGAATTAAAGTGAACATGTGAACTTTCCTCTACACCAAACAACTTAAAATGGCCCAAGAAAAAAATTAAACATTTCCATGTCATCAGAAAAAGTAAATTCAAGTTATTAAAAAGGAATTAAAATAGTATTTGGTGCTGTGAAAGGTAAACAAACAATCACAGAAACACAAAGACAAGTGTGACACAGAATCAATAAAAATCGCTTTGCAGTAAAGGTGCAGTTACAAGGCTCAAACTGATACCCACAGCAAAGGAGGTTACATTAATTCTTCAATCTGTGGTTCAATGTGCTGAAATTCAGCTGCAATGTTTAATTTTGAGCCTTGTTTTAACAAAATGTGCTATTGCTTTCAATTTTATGCTTCTGAGGTAGTTTTTAAAAGTAAGTACCAAGTAGAATTCTCAAACTTAATCTCTAAAATAAAGGAAAAGGGCTACTATGCTTCTGATACAAAGCATCAGCTTCCTCAGGTTTTAAAACAGTGATAATAACCTTCTCTCAGGCCTGTTGTGAAGATTAAATAAGGTGACACAGGAAAAAGTCTGCTGACATCATGTCTGACATACAGTAAAGTGCACAATAAATGTCTACAATTATCTTTTATTACCTAGTCAAACGCTAGTATTAGGAATAAACTACTTTAAAAATGGGAAACATATATTCCTTTATTTCAAATTATTTTCTATTAAAAAATCTTAAAAATACCTTTAAAATTTGCTTATATATTTCATAGTTTTAAGATAGTGTAATATAAGTTAGGCGCTTCCTTTTAAGTAAGGATGTTGGTTTAGATAATCTGAAATCTCAAGGTTGTTCTCATTTTACAGCTGGTACTATGGCAACCTGCTGCCACCTGGTGGTAGTATACCTATAATAAACTGATACAACAGTTTCAAGGAAAAAAATCTAACCCTTAAAACCGACCAAATAAAACAGAACCCAAATTTAAATGTTATGCACTTAACAAAATAAAGGTAAAAATTAACTTAGGTGACAAAGAGGACTAACACTGCAACTTCAGAAATCATTTTGCATATTAAAATTTATCACACCATTCAAAAAGTCTAGAAAAAGCCTAAGAGGCAAATTTGTAATGTGCTTTTTTTTTTTTTTTGAGAGAGTCTTGCTCTGTCACCAGGAGCCAGGCTGGAGTGCAGTGGCACAAGCTTGGCTCACTGCAACCTCCGCCTCCCAGGTTCAAGCAATGTTCCTGCCTCAGCAACCCAAGTAGTTGGGACCACAGGCCCATGCCACCATGCCCAGCTAATTTTTGTATTTTTTAGTAGAGACGGGGTTTCACCATGTTGGCCAGGATGGTCTCAATCTCCTGACCTTGTGATCCGCCCACCTCGGCCTCCCAACAGGCGTGAGCCACAGCACCCAGCCCCAATGTGCTTTTTAAAAAACTATCTTTCCCTGCCATCCTACCCTCTAAGAAAATAACAATTACTAATATTCTGTTACAATAGTTGTTACAAAGAATAGCTAAAACTTTTCAAATAATGTTGGCCAGTATCATCTGTTTCTCCACACAGATTCAACTGGCACTCCCTCTGCTAGAGAAATGTCTACTCTGAAATTAGAAGAAAATGCTCTTATATTACTTTATAGGTTCCATTTGCATAGAGTAACTTTTCTCTCTCCGTAAAAATTTGTTTCCAATTATCATCAGCAAACCCCTCGGTAAAAATTAAGCATTCTCAAACCTGCTGGAACTACGAGATCTTCGCGATGCATTATAACTCCTGGGTGGTGTTCTGGATTTTTTATCCTTCTTTCTTTTTTCATCTATCTCTTTGGATCTGTCTTTTTCTCGTTCCTTTTCTTTGTCCTGTTCCTTTTCCTTCTCTTTGTCTCGATCCTTTTCATGCTCTTTTTCCCGTTCTTTCTCTCTGTCCTTTTCCTTGTCTTTTTCCCGGTCCTTTTCCCGTTCTTTGTCCCGGTCTTTATCTTTGTTTTTACCCCGTTCCTTTTCTTTTTCACGTTCCTTTTCCCTCTCTCTCTCCTTTTCCCTCTCCTTTTCTCTGTCTTTCTCTTTCACTCTTTCCTTTTCCTTGATCTTTTCTCGAGTGTCTTTTCTCTTGTCCCTTTAAAAACAAAAATACATAAATTTGTAACTAAAATGATTCTACCTCCTACAAAAAGACCTCTCCCACAATTACCAACACAAAACAATTTATAGTAGCTACAAACATTTACATATAAATTTTTATATGGCTCAGGTGTACAAGAAGCTGCTAACAAGGCTATTATATTACACAAGCTGAATTGAGTAGTCTGGAAACCTCATGAGTCACACAGACATCAGATTCAAATCAATGGCAATCAATATTAATCCTAGATTTTAATCCTAGATTACTAAAACAATAAGATAAAAAGTTTAATTTCTCTCATTAAAAACCTAAACCACAACAGATTTTTAACAAATGAAGCCAATTAAAATATTATCCCTTTGCACTAATAGGACTCAGAGGAAAAAGAAAATTATTTTTCGTTTATTTAAAACTTACCGTGAACGTGAACGACTCCTTGACTTCCGTCTCTCCCTTGATTTGGAGCGTTTTTTATGTGGGCTCTTAGATCTACGTCTGTCCTTCTGTCTCGAACGTGATCTATTATGGGATCTACTCCTAAGGAATAACAAATTGTTAGAATAGCAAAACTTATTCTTAGAATTTCAACTTTTAAGAATTAACATCTTTCAGACAAGAAACTTTAAAATCTATCCTAACAGTATCTAACAATATTTTAAAATTTTCTCTTAAATAATAGTTACAAAATCTGAAATACGTCTACTGGAAACTTTACAGGATATTTCCTTGTCTAGAACAGAGATAGAAACAAAGAATTTAACAGTTATTCTGTATATTTTCAGATGTGGTTTTCTTTTGCTAGTCATTTTATGCCTCAAATTAGTACAGAAGATTTTTCCCTGTTGACTTGCACATAACCTGGTCATAACACATCATGACAAGGAGTAGTGGTTACATGGTTCAATAGTTCCTGTGAATGTGTACTGTTTCTCGTAACAAACAAGAAGAATATATAAGGAAGCACAGTACTAATGACGGAGCTACTGTGACAGGAAAATAAAAATCATTACTTGTAAGTTAAAACTAGATATAATCAAATATTGGATTTGCAATGCCTTGATTCATAGCGGTAACTATAATCATAGCTAACAGTTGAGTATCCTTACCTGAAATGCTTAGAACCAGAAGTGTTTTGAATTTCACAGTTTGGGAGATTTTGGAATATTTGCATTATACACACACACACACACACACACACACACACACACACGACCGGCTGAGCATCCCAAAAGCACAACTAAAAAATCCAAAATGCTCCAAGCAAGCATTTCCTTTGAGCATCATGAAAGCGTTAAAAAAGTTTTGGATTTTGAAGCCTTTTGGATTTTAGATTTTCAAATTTGAGTCTCAACCTATATGAAAAGAAACCTTTAACTGCAGGTAATGTTTAATTGTAGGAAAAGTAACTGTTACTACAATTTTGACCAGGCCCCCTTTCTCACTTTGGAATTTTTTGAGAATGTGATTTTTTTTCACAATGAGGTATCCTAGGAACTACTTATTAAAATGTAACAAAATAGATGCACACAACTTAAAATAGCAAAGTGATTAGATTCAACAGCTTTGGAGTCTGACAATCTGGCTCTGAATGTCACACACTACCTGTGAGAACTCTGGCTAGTCAGTTAACCTCCTCTATAAAGTGGAGTAGGAACCATACCTACATCTCTTAGGGCTGCCATTAGGATTAAAACTGATGATATATGTGAAACTGCGCAGTATTCTCTAGCACAGAGTAAATGTTTAAAACACTTAACTTCTCAATGTCATCACCATTAAAAGTTAACATATATGTAACTTTAAATTAGATCCTTATGTATGTATTCCAAGGAAGCTGAATGAACTTCCATAAGTATGCTTTATACAGTTAAAACTCATCTTGATAGTCATGTTTTAATAAATTAAGTTAGAGCAAATATCAGTAAAAGAAATACATAGAGTTGGGTCAGGCACAGTGGCTCATGCCTGTAATCCCAGCACTTTGGGAGGCCAAGGCAGGCAGATCACTAGAGGTCAATCATCCTTGCCAACATGGTGAAACCCCATCTCTACTAAAAATGTAAAAATTAGCTGGGCATGGTGGTATGCACCTGTAGTCTCGCTTAATCAGGAGGCTGAGGTGGGACAGTCACTTGAACCCAGGGGTTAGAGGTTGCAGTGGGCCGAGATCATGCCACTGCACTCCAGCCTGGGAAACAGAGTGAGACTCCATCTCAAAAAAAAGAAAAAGACCATGCTTGCGGGATGCTTTGAAATCAGGAAAACCTCCAGGCAATAACAAAAATCTTGGATTTTTGTTTTTAAACACATTTTTCAGTTAGTCAAAATGTTGACTGAACATTAACCAACATTACAAATCAAAATTCCAATAGCTAATTTCCATTTAAACTAGTCATCTACTATTTGTCTTTAAAAATAATATACAATTGGCCAGGCATGGTAGCTCACACCTGTAATCCCAGTTCTTTGGGAGGCCAAGGTGGGCAGATCACGAAGTCAAGAAGAGATTGAGACCATCCTGACCAACATGGTGAAACCCATCTCTACTAAAAATATAAAAATTAGCTGAGCCTGGTGGCAGGTGCCACCAGGGTGGGAGCTACTCAGGGGGCTGAGACAGGAGAATCGCCTGGGAGGCTGAGGCTGCGGTAAGATGAGATCGTACCACTGCACTCCAGCCTGACCAGAGTAAGACTCCATCTGAAAAAATAATGATAATAGTAATAATAATATACAATTGTCTTCTATCATAAATATTTTTTAGCCTCATTTAATTCAACACATTTTTTTTCCAAAGACCCCAGATAAGAAATCACATACCACATTTTTAATACCCGAAGATAATTCATAGCTTGCTGAAATCTTTATCACTAGTAATTTAAGCGACATGAAGGTTAATGAATAGATGTTAAGGCAAAACTGCAAAACTGAGAACACTATTAGTCCATTTACAGATCCCCACATAGGGTAATCTTTTAAAGTGCCTTTGCTTCTACATACTTAATAAAAAGTCTTACTGTAAGATTTCTATTTTAACTTGTCCTTGCTAAAAATATAATCTGCTTTCCTCAAAGCAATTTTTCCAACTTGAAACAAAAAACTTATTTAAAAAAATTAATAATGGCTCTCATAAATACGTTAATAATAAAAAACACTGATCACCTGGCTTCCAACCTTACCCTGTAGCTGAGCAAAAGACAGTGCCTAAGAGTAATTATTACATTTTAACTGTGACATTAATATTTTCATGTCAATCTTACCCACTAGTATTTTTCTGATTAAGAATGCTAAAAGTAGGTCAGGTGTGGTGGCTCACACCTATAATCTCAGCACTTTAGGAAGTTGAGGTGGGGAGATCACGAGGTCAAAAGATTGAGACCATCCTGGCCAACATGTGGAAACCCCATCTCTACTAAAAGTACAAAAATAAAACAGGCATGGTGGCACGTGCCTGTAGTCCCAGCTATTCAGGAGACTGAGGCAGGAGCACTGCTTGAACCCGGGAGGCTAAGATTGCAGTCAGCCAAGATTGTGCTACCGCACTCCAACCTGGCAACAGAGCAAGACTCTGTCTCAATCGGAAAAAAAAAAAAAAAAATGCTAAAAGTAGTCAAAAGCAGATCTAATCTAACTAAAGATTTATCATTAGTAGCTCTCATTTTTAATGAGAAATTGTATTATTCTGAATGCAAAATCATATTTTTAAATTAAACTGTAAATAAACAGCAACTTACCATTATGTTGCCTCAGAGTTCATTTGTAAATCAGTTTTCCATTAAAACATTATAAAATGGCTTATAGTTCCTGTGCTAATCTATAAAGGTTATTTGAAATTATAACAATTATAGTACTATCCATCTTTTCTATGTCTCAATAAATAAAACCGACATCAAAACTTGGACAAAATGGAAACATACTTCCCTAATCCTAGACAAGGTCATAGTGACAAGAAACCCCTTCCTCTCTCTTACCTAAAAAGGGGAAGGAACAGGGAAAGGTTGTGGGGAAGGGCTGGGAGGCAGGAAGCATGACTCTAGAAGCATGTGAAAACAGTGAAAAAGTAGAAGGTGGCCCTTTAAGTTAAAGGGTTCTTGCAACCCACACTCCTGCTAAGTCTAACAGGTCAGGGCGAGACCCAAGGGCATCAACTCCCACTAGCACAGGAAGAAAAGTCAAGAAAGGCTTATCAGCCCCTCCCTGATTTCTGGGGGATAGCAGATCCTTCCAGGTCAGAATCTTTAAGTTAAGTGTTTTTAGGTAAGGGATTTTTTTTTTCTCGTTTATAGAGAAGTCATCCTCTTTTGTATTTGTTCATGAACTTAAGGCTACATGCTTCCACATGCATACAAAACCAGAATATGCTGACAAAAATATGTATGTATGCATACATGCCAGTTAAGAACATATATACCATGCCTGTAATCCCAGCACTTTGGGAGGCCAAGGCAGGAAGATCACTTGAGCTAAGGAGTTCGAGACCAACCTGGGCAGCATGATGAAACCCAGTCTCTACAAAAAATACAAAGTTAGCCAGGCGTGGTGGTACACATCTGTGATCTCAGCTACTCGGGAAGCTGAGGTAGGAGGATCACTTGAGCCTGGAGGTGGAGGTTGCAGTGAGCCGAGATCATGCCACAGCACTCCAGCCTGGACAACAGACTGAGACTACATCTCAAAAAAAAAAAAAAAAACGAAACAAAGAAATGCACACAATTTTTAATGCTACCTGAACATTTTGGGTACATTTGTTTAGACAGAGCTACACAAAAATACTCTCATAAATAAGAATGCTGATCAACAAATTTCAATTTAGAATGTATAACTTCTCCCCCACTAACCCTTGGAGGGGAGAAATACCTGAATATACTTAAAACAAAAACCTTAAAGTAGACAGCAAAATTATTTGCTATAATTTCAAAAAGCACATAAAACTTCACATAGATCATCAAAGAAACGACAATGTTATTAATCATCAAGTTTTGGCTTGTTCCAGTCTTGGACATTAGCTCTCTCTTACAATCAACACAATATGAGATTCAGGTCATTGGTCTTCCTCAGAAAGGAAGTTGTAATATTACTCTTCAGCCTAATTTTATTTTTCCTTGATCTCCTTTACCCACACCACATCCTGTCAATATATGGAAATATCCATAGTCTAGTACCACTGCAACTTCTGTTCCACCTTCCTTTCCTGATACTGGCTTCTGCTGCACTGCCTTATTTCTTATACATGCAGCAACCTCCTTCACTTGGTTCTGAAAGTGCCTTACGGTAAGACCTTGAATAAAGGCAGTAAAACCATATTCCAAAGGAGATTTTTGCAAAGTAAGAATAGACAAGTATACACCAGATACTAGAATCTAAGAAAGAACATACTATTTTCCTCATTCTTTGAATCTCCTTGATCAGTAACAACAACAACAAAAAAAGAACAAAGCAAACTAAGTCTGCTGGTAAAATAATACACAACAAACTGGTTCCTTTTTTCCCTCCCCCAAATCCTTTCCCTTTCTTTAAAACCCCTAACAATATGCACAAATACTCTTCCCTCCCTGCTCTCTCAAGAGATACATATGTACACATAACATGCAATTAGGATCCACTATACATCCTTTCATATTTCAACAGCCCCCTTCATACCTTAAAAAAGACAACAACATTTGTAACTTTAGTAACGATCTTTAGGGTACTTCCAATCAAAATGGTATTGCCAAGTTTGCATTTTGAGGTCCTCTTTATACCAAAGACAAAGAAATGACTGATAAGGAAAATCAAAAGGATAAAGCTATGATCAAAAATAAGACAAACACAGCTTAAGCAAAGTACTACAACTGAAGCCGAAACTGCAAGTTACTCCTGGGTTTCAGGTCCAAAAGTGGGCAGAGGAGGCTCTTAACACCAGTAATACCAAGGACTCAAAATGTTGCATTGGATACACGGTACTGAAAATAGGGAACTGCTTGAAACTAAGATCTGGGATGGTGCTCCCCAGACCTGGAGTGGACTGGAGAAAGAAAACAAAAAAGCTGCAACTTAAATATGTTCCCTTTTCTCAATATGAAGAATGAAAACAACTTTTGTCACTTCTATGTAAGGTCTAGTTTACTCTTAGAAAAATCTGGAAGAGAGTATCTTTGGACACAAAACTAACTTCTAAAAATAACTATAAGTCACATATTTAAAAATTAAATATCATTAGACAAAATTTCATTCTCAACTACAGTATTACAATTAGAACAATATTTAATGGTAATCACACTTCAGGTGTACACTACTGAAATTTCTAAATTCTGATATTTTGACAAAAACTCAAAAATGTTTAATATTTTAAATACAAAACTAAAATAAAATTTAAACATAACAACAGAAATTCTCACCTGTGTTTTGATTGTGATCTTTTCCTTCTAGAATGGGATTTTGAGCTAGACCTGGATTTTGAACGAGTATGGGAACGAGATCGACCGCCTTTTCTTTCATTGCTCTTTCCAGACTCTGGGAGGAAAAAACCACTTTGCAGTGTAAGCTCAGAACAATTAAAGATCCCAGTTAATAATCAGGCACAAGTGGAATGTACCACATATAGTGCAAGGGGCCTACTCTCTGTACATCCTCCTCCTTCAGAAACATCCAAGAAAGTCATTGCATAAACTCGTTGAGTGCAGCCACCCTGCAGCAGTACATATAAACCAGATTATTATAAACAGCTGTTCGTAATATTTTGTTGCTGCCGTAACGTACGATTATAACATGTCTGCAATTCCTGTGACAGTGATTTTAAGTCCTTTCTCCATTTATTCTGCTAGAATTGAAGCTTAAATTCTGAGTGTTGATTTAGAAATCTGCTCAAATGTAAACCACCTAGATGTTTTTAGAATGGGTTTTTAAATTATTTTCATTAGCAACACAAAAGTTTGAATAGCTGTTCCTTTTTACCTTGCTAAAACACAGTATCTGTATTTTTTTCTAAATCATGGGCTCTCTTTTCTATTTTTAAAAGTAAAATTTTGAGGAAAAGTAAACCTGCTGTATCATAACATTTTACATATATTTACTTTTCACCCTTACAATAACATTTTTGCTTTCAGCAAATCACCTTTGAGCACTGATTTTGCTATGAAAATACAGAGCTGATTAGCTCAGACTAAAGTGCCTCAATTCAGTACCACGCGAAAGGCTAAGATTTGTGCTGTTTTTTCACGAGTATGCTACTTACTATTTCTTGAGTTTCAGTCTTCTTGTTCATAAAATGAAGTGACTAAACAAAATGATTTCTAAAATTCCTTCCAGTTCTAAGATTCTATGGTCTTTAAACCATGACCTATGTAATAACATTATGGCCTTACCTGGTTCAATAGCTGCTGAGATAAATGACTGAGCTTCTCGTACTCGCTTCATTACTTCTTCTAACTCCTTAGCTGCAGCCTGAGGTGTCATCTCAGGGGGTTTTACTATTGCATTGTTGGAGTGATTTATTCTAAATTAAAAATATTAGCATATCACAAATACACACCACATTTTATAAAACACGAAACAAATGTTTATATGATACACATATTTATAAATTTGAGGACATCTCAGAAGCACATTAAGAATGATATAGCTAAATACGGAACAACCAAAAGCAACCTCAAAACCATGATTAATTTCTCATCTCCATTTCCTATCATTCCTTGATAATACAACCAAAAGCAGGAAAAAAAGAAAAATTGAACCCTAGCTAACTTAATTCAAACAGACTAGATTAAGTGCTTTTCCATAGCTTAAAATTAAAATAATTAAAATGTTGATACCAATATGAAAATGAAATCATTTCTATTTTCAGATCAAAAGATCTTATTGATACCCTGTACACTCTAGAAGAATGAAAGGAAAGGTATGTGTATATTATTATATTATGTACACCTTTTTAACCAACCTTGAACCATGGCTGAGTCAGAAACAGCTTTGAATGTGCAAGGTATCTGATAAAACTCTTCCTCTACAGGTAAGAGTGACTTCTCTGATGCACATGAATGGATGTTATGTGTCTTGCTTTACCTCTTCCACACTTGGAAGATAAGTATCCACTAAAAATAGTTACTTATTCTTCAACAGAAAAATCCTATCAAATTGTGTAACTAAAGCAATTTATGAAATTCAAGCAAAACTCTATTTGCCTCAATAATCTGCATGAAAATAGAATTTCCGATCTGGAGTATCTCAAAGGCTATATCAACATTTTACCAACAAGGATATAAGCAAACTTTAAAAGTCAAAATGTCTGGTTTAAAACATTTCTAGGCACTTATAATTTCCTTCTGTAGATTTTGAATTTACCAGTTATTACTGGCAGTACTATAATTAAGCCCACATGTTAAGTTGCCCAATTAGTCTAGAGTCATAACAAAAAACCAACCTGACTTATTAGTAAAAAGACCTACAACCATTATGCAGGGTACATAAATAATGTAAACATTGAATTAGACCCTAGAAAACAGAAAATGAGAAAATAAATGTCTCTAAATAAAGGAATTTAAAGACTAAAATGGTAAGTATCGCAGGTATTTCATTTATACTTAACACAAAGTCTTCCTTTCCACAAATTGCCAATTACTATTAAAAAGAAAAAAAAAAAGCCTTAATTACATCAAAAATACTTTAAATTTTTTCAAAATAATTAAAATTTCTTTGTTTAGGATTTCTTACTTCAGTGGCCTGTCTCCAAACATAACTCCATTAAAAGCAAGGGCCCTTGGTACAGAATTTTGGTCTGCAAATTCCACAAAAGCAAACCGAGTTGGCTGAGTCTCATCACCTGCCATCCGCACAAACTTCACTTCTCCAACTTGTTTAAAAAATTCAAGTAGTTGATCAGCTGTCGTTGTCTAAGGAAACAAAGTGACACTTTGATAAAATATATTCATTTTTAAAAATCAGGTAAACATCACTGTATCCACTGACAGGATTTTTAAGAAGAGAAAAAGAATAAGGGCTACTGCTTTGTTTCTTCATAAATTAGTTACCTGGGAATTCAAATTTCCAACATAAACCGTTCTCCTAATTTCATCTATTTTGGAAGGATCCACATTTCCCATAAGTGGTGGCTGTGGTATCTCTCCGAGTGTTGCAATGTTGGGGTCTAGTGCTGCTGCTGGTATAGCTCCCAAACTGCTAAGTGAAACACCAAGCTATTGAAAGAAGAAAAAAAAAACACAAAACACATATTTTCTATTAGTATCCAAAATCACCATTCTCTAATCTGGAAAAGAATGAACTAACTCAACCAGGATGAAAGGAGACTAGGGACTCCGAACTTTGTATGTCTGACTTATTAAAATAAGGTCACATTTGTTTTAAATGTAATTTGAAATATATTTCTTGTCTGGATATTTTAGCCACTTTTAAACTTGACCCTAAAAACAGGCAGTTTCTCATTATTTGAGGTAGCTATGTTCTACAAAGTTTCCACAAACAATGAATTATTAAATATTGAACAATTATTCCCAGGGAAAATACAGTACGAAATTCCTACAAGCCTCTGTTCACATTTACATTAACTAATAAAATGTTTAACCTTATTTTATATGTGCTTCTGTTTAAAGACACCTTAGCTACCATATATTGCCAATTCATTAACACTGAACTCACAGCCAGCAGCACTATAACTCAGGTCTAAATGAAGCTTACCTAATACATGTATTTAATTTTCACCATGAGGTACTTCACAATCTTCCTGCACTTAGGAACACTACACAGCACTTTAGCACTATACTTGTGGGCCAACATTAACAGCAAAATCACCAACAAAAAGCACAATTCAAAAAACAAAGCCCTAAACAGACTGCATGCTTGTTTACAGCCTGAGTGCCAAAACAAGATTTTGACCTCCTATGCGAACATGCAACTAGACGGACTCAAATTTTTCAGCACTCTGTGTATGTCCACAAATGACCACAAAAGCGCTGCAAGTGTTGATTTGGGGATCTCAAAAAAATTTTTACCTACTAAGTGAATTCACAAATACAGAATTCAAGAGCTTTCAAGAAAAAAAAGACACTCTTTTCATTTCCACTTATGCTATTAGAGAACATAATGACCATTAATGACCATATATGCAACAAATACAGTATGGAACTACTAATATTTAACAACTGTTAAGTAATGGCACTTCCTAAAGGTGAAAACACAAGTTTATGAAATCAACATCACTTACTGTCACAGCAGCCAATCTGATCTTTCTTAAACATGTCCAATCATGTCATAACCCTGCTTAAAACCCATCAATGGTTTCTAATTACCTTAAGAATAAAATTCAAACCACTTTACATGGTCTAAAAAGCCCTACCATAATCTGTGTCCTATCTATCCCCTTCAATCTCAAACACTCATGATCCTCACTATACTTCAACCATACTGACTACCATTCTGTTCCTTTACACCTAAGTTTAATTAAATAACATTTCCCCCAAAAAATCAGAACGCAGGTCTTTAGCATAGCAATGTTATGTAAAACTACAAATCTGTAATTTTGCACTTCACAGTTTCAGAAACCACTTTTAAAATCTAGATAAATTAACCATAAACACATAGCACATTTATTAGTTCACTCCTTATCTAACAAGACAAAGCTGGATTCAACTTCCAATTTAGGCAAGCTTTATATTTTGTTTTATGTTAGTTTTTGAAGAAAAATGGCACTTCTTTTAAAATAAATATGGCCAGATTTTTTTAAACAAAAACCAAGAGCCAGTATTAGTAATATCCTTTTTTAATCCCACTTGGAAATCACAAAGGAGGCATTAATAAGTTATGACTTAATCCTGCATAGCTAACAGAAAAACATATTTGCCATGTTTTCACCTTGTTATATTTTCTCAGTATCAGACAAAGGCTTCGCTGAGATACTTTTTCCCATTACCAAAGTTGTGGATCATTTCACGTATTTTAAAGAGATTTAGTCCTCATTAACTGAGAAATAGTTACCTAGATCCTCCATACTATCTAAAATACTGAGTTTTAATAACTGATTTTCTAATGAATAATAGAGTTCTCAAATTTAAATAAATCCATACTTCAGGAGTAAATCCAAAACGCAGTTGAAGTCAATGATAAAGTGGAAAAAAACTTAAATGATTTCAAGTCCTCTCCATTAAAAAAAAAAAAATCCAAATGTAAATAATTTTCTAAATTCTCTATTCAACTGGTTACAGTTTAATGTTCACCTCTTTCGTAAGAGGGCTTATAGTACTTACGGTAGTCAAAGGATTTGGGGTTGGTATTGGAAGTAATCCTGCACCAGGCATCAGACTTGTCATGGTTGGAGCAGGAGCCAATAAAGAAAGGGCTTTGGATTCCTCTGGGATTTTACCTGCAGAGGCAAGTTCCAAACATTACAGAAAGCAGAAACACCACACAAACTTTACACTACGATTTTACAATTACCCTTGCAGTTAAAAAATAATAATAATAAATGAATCTATCTATCAGATCCATATAAAGAAATAAATAAGAACTTAAGTCTTTCCTTTTATCCTGCTCTACTAGGAAAAATAAAAGTGAGCAAAACTTCAAATATTAACAATCTCATTAATGGAATATTATTTTAAAAACTGAATAATGTAGACAATTATTTAACACTTTGAGCTATGGGTCACCTGTACTGGAAACTTAATGTTCATGAACCAAACGATATCAAGCATGGACGCTTTCCCAGGACGGTGTTTTCGCGGTGATCGAAAGTTGTGTTACACATGACAACCGTTCGTGTTGGCTGCATCACTAATAGCACACAGAACATCAGATACAGAAAAGAAGAACATTTTTTAAAGTTTAATCCCCAGAAATGGCAAATAACCAAATTAGTCAAAAAAAAAAAAGAAAAAACAAATATGTGCCAATTGAAATTTGTTTCTTAATGAGTGCCCCTATTCTGTTACTGAAACTACCTATTTGTGATGCAAACAAATTCTGATAACCCTCCAATAGATTCCATTTAATTTCAAATAGAAAACAAAAACTTACTTCATGTAATCAACTTTAATGTAAAAGGAAGCCTACATCCATACAGCTAATAAGGCATCTCACCAACATCAGCGATGCCTAATGAGAAATTCAGTTCCAAAAAATATGCCTTGGAAAACTGCTAAAACAATTTTTAGGGGAAAAAAAAAGTTCCCTTTTTCAAAAAACTTCTTAAAATACTAACTTTTAGAACAAACTTATGTATACTTATCTAAAGGGGGAGGTGAATGCTTTAAAGCTTGCTTATAAACATTTTAACCACCTAATAACAAGAGTAGCACTAAAATAATCTAATAACACTAAGAAGGAAAAAAAACCCTACAACCTAAAAAAATGAAAAACTTACTCTGAAGTAAGTATGATTTGTCATATTCGCTGCTGAATTCTAATCAATTACTTCTGATAAGGACTGCAACTTTCACGTTATTTTTCCTTATCTTCTTAGGCAAAAAAAAAAAAATCTTAAATAGTTGACTACATGTGGATATATTTAGAATACTCATGTACTAGCTGGTGAAGCATTTCCATTATTAATTCTCCAAAAGTGTTTTAAAAGACAATGCACAAAATCATGCTAAACTGAAATATAGCATATGCAGTAAATTTCCACAAGCACCATGCCTGGTTTCAGTTGTAAAAATTTATATGAACAACCAGATGTGTAAAGTAAATCCCTAAACAATATTATCTGAATATATCTCTAAACATGGATGGAACTCAATTCAAAATTGAAAACTTTATTTAAATAATGGCTGTGGCTTATTTATTAGGAAGCAAATAAAAATTACATTTAATTAGTTTTAGCAAATGCCTACTACTTTCTAACTTTACAGCATCTAAGTTTATATTACTTTACTAATTTCAAAACCAAAGTTATTTTATTATTTCAGTATAAATTCTGGAGAACAGATTTCTTAACATGCATAAACAAAAGGCAAGCAGGCCTTATTGAAAACGTCAAATAACAATAATCTGTTTTATATGTATTAGTTATTGGTATTAACACACATATTTATATATACCCACATATATACTATACTATTTATATTGATTTCACCTGTTTTTCTGTTATAAATTATCTTAAAAAGTTTGTAAAACCTAAACATTCTTGGTGAGGTTTTGAGATAAACTCCATCTTCACTACCTTAAAATATGCACCTAAAAAAACTAAGAGTTCTAATCTAATAATGTTCCAAATTTAGTATTACTTGTCCATTAATAAGCAAAACTTCCCATTGAAGACAGTGTAGAAAGACTACACAAACAAAAAGAGTATTCAACACCAGTCAAAAGTTGATTACTCAGTATTATGAAATCTTTCACTTTTGGCTTAAAATATCAATAGGTTGTCAGACTCTCTCACTACCTTTCACAAGAGTAATAAACTACTATAAATGTATAACTCCACTGTAAGCACATTTTTAAATAAATTAACTGTTAATTACCATTCTAATTACTCTATATACTTATTCTAATTACCTAATGGTAATGGTGAAAGTACTTTAAGAAAAAGCTGCATCACTTAATTTCCAAGATAGAATTCTACCAAATTTACCCTCCAAATAACAGGGTTTATAAAAGTATAAAACAAATAAGCATTTAGCATTTTTCCCAAACTATACTCCTCAAAGTCACTGAGGAAAACATCTCTCACAGTATTAAAGTTTTAGTCCTAATCTCAGAATCCATGTAGAAGCTAGTAACCTCCAAAGAATATTCAACAAAAAAAATCACGCTAACAAAAACACACATGCAAATAAGTAAGTTTCTCAAATATCCATTCCCCACATAGGCAATAAAGTCTTTGTTAAGTCAAGGAAATAAGTTATATAATAAATAACCATCACAAAAATAAAAGGCTCTTCTCTACTCCCAGATAGTTGTATTTACTTATTTTCCTTGATGCTTTTGTATGCATAAAATTGCAGAGGGAAGGACAAAAATTAGGAGCTATCAGTTTTTATGAGAGATGTAGACTAGGGGGAAAAAGAACTAGAAAAATGCTGCGCTGAGATCAGAAAGTGTTCCTGAGATACTTAGCAGTGTTTTAATGTTTAAAGAACAAAATGTACCTTAGCAGTCCATACACACGAATTAAGACTCACACTGAGCTTCACAACACTGTATCCTAATTTACCACATGAAAATTTGCTTTATCTTAAGGTTGAACTCTGCTAATCATCTCCCAATATAATTTGCAACACGTTATGAACCCTTAATGAAATACCATTTACAAAGAACTGGAAAACCAGCTCACAAGTTAAAGTGAAAGAGATTTAACAAAACAAAAACAAAAACAAAACAAAAAAGGGGACAAAATAAAGAAAAAGAAATGAAATTAAAGTAAAACAATAAAAAACAGAGACAGGGCGTCCATCTTCTGCGGTTCAGACTCCGATCTCATTTCCCCAATGAAGGTTTCACTTGACGGCAGGTTTAGTGGCATGGCAAACAATGCCTAACTCAGGCAAGTGTAACAGGTCTGCCTTGGCCAGTCTAGTCATCTAATAATGCACAAATATCACATAGAGAAAACATACAAAACCAAATTAATAGTCAAAATCCATCTACCAGAAAATGTGGACATAAAGTTATGACTGATGATTAGGCTGACACCCTTGTTATGTTTGACCTTATCTTTTTCTACGTGTTAACATTTATAAAAAGAAATCTGAAATGCACGCAACAACAAAAAGAGGTCATATTTGGACAAGTATAATGAAAGCATATTTTATTTTGAAATGGCATGTTTTATTAACAAAGGCTAATGCTTAATATGCATGAAATTGTTACACATCAAATGTTACTTTTACAGCTTAGGATAATCTCACATTACTGTCTGTACTAAAAAACAGCAATTTGAAGAAACTGAAAAAACTTAAATTTTTTTCTATGGTATTTCTCACTTATGTGATGATGCTGTTTGTTCAACATCAAGGATAGGATGTAGCCAGTGAGGTCAACAGAACACTGCTTGCCTACAGCACAACAGTACATCTTCCTCTTACAGAACTTACTCCACTGGAATACTTTTCTTTGGTTATTTCACACTCACTGCTATCTTTTTTAGTAAAATAATGCACTATTTCTCTGCTTGTAGTGCATAATCCGACTTTAAACAGCTCACTGTGAAATTCTCCAGGTTCCATAAATTCATCTGTGCTGTATTTAATACAACTAATGAAAAATGTGTATCTGAATGTTTTACCGATACCAATTGTAGGTTAGTGTTTTAAAATATTTACTTACTTATAACCAAATTCCAATAAAAGTATGCTTAACTTTTCATGTTCAAAAACAGTAAAACTGTCCAAGTTGTAATATTAAAAATATTAAACAGGTATATCTGAATGTGCATTTATTCATCTCTATCAAGTAAAATAAACAATTAAAGGGACATCTACAAGCCCATAATCTTGAACATTCATAACAAACCACAGTAGGACTTCTCAGATATATGAAAGATTCTATGGGAATATAGCAGGGCCCAACCAAGCAAGACCGATAAAATTCTTCCTTCCAATTCAGTAACATGCTAATAACATAATAAAAGATCCTGTGTTACTGGTGGTATTAATTTTCTGATATAATTAATATTCTAGTTTAATCAACCTTTACCTGATTTTTTTTTTCCCCATGCAGTTTCTCAGTATGAAATTTTACTACAAAGTATGTAGAACGAAACCATTAACCAGCTCCTTTCTCATCACCTTACCAATTTGGGGCTAACTGTAGCCTTACAGATCAGCAGATAAGGACATATTTAGCCAATAATTAACTTTAATCCATTTTTATCTTTCCTACCAACTCTAACCCCCAAGCATGGGAAAGACACTTCCAAATTTATCTGAAAAATATTGAGAATTTCCTATTCTGGGACTTCAAAAATACCAGCTTAGTACTCACTGTAGTAGACTGTAATTTTTTGACATCCCAGAGCAGGCATTCTGAAATAAACATAAAACCTCTAAAGTGCAGCAAACTGCTTATTATAGATTGTTATTTTAATGTTAGCCTGACCACTAAAAGAGGTTTTAAAAATTACATATGAAAGACTATCAAACTGTTCCCCATAAACTTTTATGTTTAAAACAGTTAAGTTACAATCATCCACCCAAGAAAATACACTTAAAGACATTTTAATTTATAATAACCCAATTCTAAACTCCTGTACATATGCTAGTCAGTGCTCTGAACAAAAGTTAATTACACACCAGAAGTGTCAAAATTCAGCACAGTCTATTATACGTGCGTGGCTCTGTAAATAGAAGTTACTAAAAAATATTAGTAATAATTAGTTATTAAGGCAGTTTAAGTCATAAAATTTAATGGATACTATCAGACCTTCGTTTCAATTTTCAACAACTACCTCCGTGATGGAGGCTTTGGAAAATTGCTTTCCTCTTTTTTCTCGTACCCCTCTTGCCCCTTTTTGAGGCCAATAAAAGAAAAAAATAAATTCCAGTTGCATAGCAATTACACTGAAAATAATGATCTCATAACAATTAAGGTAAATTACCTTAAGATTATAAATTACAAATATTTATCTTATAAATATCACTTAATCCCAATTGCCAAAATGTGTACACTGTTTTCATTTGTAACAGTATTAACATTGAACACATAAGGTAAATTTTTTTATGCATTTAAAATAATTTCCCATATCAACCCTTTTTTTAATTTCAGAAAGCTTTCTCTACAATCTGCAAATTGACTACAGAAAGCCAAAGCAAACTGGAAGCCAATTAATGAACGTTAAGTTGTACAGTCTCAAATGTACGTAACTCATAAATTAACCATTTTAATATTACTACTAGGTAAAAATGTTTACCTTCTCCAAATTTCATTCTTACTTTCACACATACACCAGAGTATTGTCTACTTGCCAATTTCTAGGAAAGCTAAAGGCAATAACATACAGGACAGAAATTAAAATAACAGGAAAAAAAAGTGAGATACCAACCTTCTGCACAAGGAACAACTATCAGAGCTCTGTCAATAAAAACCGTGTTAGTTAGATGCTGGGCCACGCCAACACTTGATGGATCACGAAACTTAACATAACATACTTTGGAGGAAAAAGCAAGAGGTGCGTTGCTGCAAGATAAAAAGAAAAACAATTGGACTAATAAACATTTGCTTGGTCTTATCATTTTCACTTAAAATTTCTTTCTTCATCTTTATATAATCTTACAAAATAAAGACTTCAAAATTTTTTGTTGTTAAGAATCATTAACACATAAAATAGTGAAACTTACTCAATGGTGATTTGTCTGCCAAGACAGAAGGCAATCTATGCAGACCTACTGCCTTGTCAAACTTGGAACTCAAATCAATCCTTAATCAAGTGAAATGTTAAAAAAAAAAAAAAGCTAATTTAACCCAAAAATGTTCAAAAAGTGTATCAAATGTAGGCAAAAATCCATTTATAAAAGCTCCAATCCTCAAGATTTCAAATTTTATCATCATTCTAACTCTTCCTAAATGTTATTCACAAGCCTCAAGATTTCAAATTTTATCATCATTCCAATTCTTCCTAAATGTGATTCCCAAGCGTTTACATCACTGAAAAAACTTCTTAACAGTCTTAGAAACAATCGGGTAATATGGAATTTAAATTAAGGTGTTTTGCATACACCAGAATGCTTCAAGATAGACAGTGATAAGATTTTCCAGACAAAAAGTTTTACAAACAAAATCTTATATATTTTATAGGCACAAGAGCATAGACTCTAACTGGTCCTACTTGATTCAGTTCAAACCAGGCAGGCCTGTAGTAAAAATGAACAAGACATAACACAAATGAAAGGAATTCTTCCTAACATGAATACATCCTGTTAGATTCGAAAATATACTATCCTGATGGATAATGATTTTGTCAGCTTATCCTTAATTACTTTTCATTAAAATCTGTAATTGTCTTTAGCAGGAAAAAAAAAAAAGACCCAAACTAAGTATATACGTAATCTATAACATAGATTTTATGTTAAAATCTATTTAAAACAGTTAAGATTTTTCACACTAAAAAAACAGATTAATAATATGACTTAATAGTAACGTACTTTCGTTCACAAAACAGGAAAGAAAATTGATTACAATTTCAGAACTAGTAAATGGCTAGTCATCTAATTCCAAACTTCATGCAACCGTAATCATTTAACTCATCAAGAATCTTTAAACCATTCTGATGTACTATTATTAAATTAGCAATTCCACAAACAATTGTTTTTAAAATTTAAAAAATCCAGATTTCTCTGTAATTCTTCACTTTCAGGAGCAAAATCCATCTTTAAACAATGTAGAATAATCACATTAATAACGGTTAAATGTATATATTTATGCTATTAACCAAACACTGTGATAAAATGTACTTGCATTTAGAACTTGAAACTACTTACATTATTAACACAATAAATAAGGCTAATTAAAGTTGAAAAAAAAAAAGTACCTCTTAGCATCCAACTCGCTTTGGCCTAAGGCCATCCCATTCAGGATTCACACCAGCCCTCACCAAAAATCCTTCCTTACCCAACCCAACACCTAAGTCAAACCACTTTGTCAAACCACTAAGTCAACCCACTGAGGTAAACATATGCACACCCAGACTTAACTCACCACCTTTACATGACCAAATCGCCAATTCAGGCTTCTTGTGAGCTCTAGACTCCCAGATCCAAGTGCCTGCTGGAATATTATACCCTGATGGTCACTAAATAAGTCCAAAACACATTTCATCACCCGCCTTCCTTACCAGGCTTGCCCTTTGTCCCCTACATGCCATATCTCAGTAAAAAATACCATCATATTACCCAAGTCTGAAGACTAGGAGTCGCTAGTGTCATCGTCCTAAACATTGCCCACCAACTACTTTCAAAGCCCTTTCTTACACAATAAAACTCCATTTTTCTGTTCCTTTAAGCTAGGTGTGGCCATGTAACCTGCTTTGGTCAATTAAATATGAGCAGAACTGACATGTGTCACTATTCTGAAGAAGCTTTAAGGACCACTGTTTGGCTCTTTTCCTCTGCCACAATGACTGGCAACATTCAAAAGATGGTTGGCTAACTCATCAGCTTCATTCCAGAGTGAATAACCACAATGAGTAAAGTTCCCACCCCCAGGAATTTAGTCTAAAAAATAATATTTCATCAGCCAGCCACAGTGGCTTATGCCTGTAATCCCAGAACTATGGGAGGTAGAGGCAGGCGGATCACCCAATGTCAGGAGTTCGAGACCAGCCTGGCCAACGTAGTGAAACCCCATCTCTACTAAAAATACAAAAATCAGTCAGGTATGGTGGCACACGCCTGTAATCCCAGCTACTTAGGAGGCTGAGGCACAAGAATCACTTGAAACTGGGAGGCAGAGGTTACAGTGAGTAGAGATCACACCACTGCACTCCAGCCTGGCAACAGAGTGAGACTGTGTCTCAAAAAAGAAAAAAAAAAAAACTGTCAAACTACAAAGATTTGAAGTTGTTTCCAAAACTCTGACTTATTGT